CAGATAGTTAAAGTTCATGAATAAAAGAAAGCATTGCTAAGTAATTTATTCAAATTCAAAGAATTTCTGCCACAAGCAAAATGAGTTAATAGTATAAACTTTAACCATTACAATTTAGCTTTCAACATTTCCGATTGCACTAATTTTCGCAGCTTCAGTGCTTTCGCCAAATTACCTTTAACTTTCAGCTTGCGCTGCAAAAATGCCTGAAACCATTTTATATGACATCAATTACTATATGTTATTGAAGAGAATTTCAAAAATACTGAGCTATATTTCATACTTCAATTTGTTGCTGGAGCACTTTTTTGCACAAACATGACCTGTATGTAAGAGACAGTAGCAGAATGACAAATTGTCGCAGAGTTTAAATATTCAAAAAGAAAAGAAAATATAATGAGATGGAAATCAAGGAACTGAGATAAGATTAATGCTGTCAATTAATTGTCTGCTTATATCATTTTTTACCACATAGTATTGTTTTAATGCAAGTAATTTGTTTTAATGCAAGTAATTACCGACTAAATTCTAAGTTTTTAATTGTTTTTTAATTCTGAATATCAAATGAGCATATTTACCTGATCAGGTCGCAATTTTCCGGTAACAATTTTCACAAAATCAGAATCTTTCATTGTCATTTCGACATCTACATTACCTTCACCCGTTTCGGCAATAACCGGTGGTGTCACCTAACAATTAAAAAGAATGCATTCAAAGATAAAATGATCTCAAATAGAGAATTTTATCATTGTTTTGATTTCTAGGAAATTTTAAAATATCCATTTCAGTTCATGTAAGATGAATAAGAAATGAAAGAGTATAATGCTGAGAAGCATACCTTGAAATCAACAGTCCATTTCTTGATAACGTTATCTGGTCCGGTCAAAACAAATCTGAATGAACTGTTTATTTTCTCGGATAAACCTGCTTCCTAAAATAAGAGAAGATTTTTTTTCTTGAAAGAGTTGAATTTGTTTGAAATCTTCATATTTAATGACCAATTTTTGAAGTTTTCGAGTTTATATTTTTGAAAAAAAAAGCTTCCTTACCATTTTTGCACGTTCTTTGATTTCATTAAAAATGGCATCACTTAAAAAGGTTTTTTTCACAGTAACATTTGTCGCATTTGTCGCGATTATTCGGGATGGTTCAGCTAATCGATATAATGCAACCATACCAGCACCACCAATTCCTTAATTATTATTATTCTTTCTGATTTCTCTCTCAGTTCTTTTCTTCTTCTCACAACTTACATCTCTTCTTTAAATCAATTTTTTGATGCTGGTACCTATCGGTAAATTCGAAAAAATTTATAATACGCAAAAACAATTGATGTGTGTGTGTCGAAATTTTGTATCTTAAATATTGTCTTATTTAGATCATTTTTTCGATAAATGATTCGTTACACAAATTTTCAACGTTTTACGTGATTACCCATAACATTGCAGTAAAGGATTTATGTTTTGATACTTGTAATCTTTGGTCCTTAGTGACCAGCTGGTATGACAACTCAGCTTGTGCACATTGATGGGTATGTTATAAAAGTATCTAATCTGATAATTGTTCTTATATCCAATGGTAGATGTCTCTTTTTCTGTTAAACATCCTCTTAGAAATCATTTTCTGAGAATTAATAATGTAAGGAGTTTCAAATCTTTTTCGCTTTACAATCCTCAACGATCGACCAATCTCATTTCCAGCTCCAGTTTATCTTCATTTATCTTCAATTATCCCCTAATCCCCTTAGCACCCAAATTTTCCCCTTTTTCCATCAATAAAGAATTAATCTATAACTATTTTCTTTTTTTTTAATATGCTACAGGCTGTTTTTGATGTACTACAGAAATTTACTAATAACTTGTTGTCGTCACCAATAAATCTTTATCAACCACCTCACGTTCTTGCCGGATAACACAAACTTCAACATTAATTTCTTCTGATCCAGGTAATATTCTTTCACAACAGTACTAATAAACAGTGGTACTCATTCCTTTTTTGCTTCTTTTTTTTCTCATTATAATTCAGATTTTTTATATTGCTCATAAGATGTGGTCTTGCGCGTCAATTTTCTCATAAAAAAGAGGAAAAAAAATTCCTATACAATATTTAATCATCTTTTTAATTTAATTTAAAAGAGCAAATAGAATTGATTTTTGAACCTTAAACTGTTGTGTATTACCTAATTAAGATTAGATTATAGCATTTGGCATCCTGATCCTAAAATATTATACTCGAGTCAAATGATAAACAATACTTACCAATATTATGCTGCATTGCAATCTTGCAATTTGGTACCTGACGTGCACCAGCAAGGCCACGTAACTGAAGCGACAATTCCACCACTTGTGCTACACCTAAAATAGAAAAATTAGAAATTTGATACTGAAGTAAAATTTCAAGTAATTTCATAACAAATAAAAACGAGAAGTTGATTCCTTTTCGTATTCATATTCATACCAGTTGCACCAATTGGATGTCCTTTGGATATTAATCCACCAGAAGGATTGATAACCCATTTTCCACCAT